TCCTAAGTGTCTATGTGCTGAGATACTTTGAGACCGTGAACAGTGGCATGTTGACCCAGCACCTAGACCACCAAGCCGTGGCTGTGCTAACATGGCGGACGTTCGAAGCGGGAAAGGACCGCCTGTGGACGGCGTTGAACATCCCGGATGACGTCAACGCTGCCATTGGGCTGTACAACTCGTCCAACGTGGACAGTACACGAATGGTAACAAGCTCATCAACTCCAGACTGCCAGTACTGCGTGTAAGGCAAGGCGTGCGACACCCCCGGCGCCAACTTCCCCGACGTCTCGACCTCGGCGTGGCCACCGGACCAAGGACACTTGGTACGCCGCGAACAACCCTTGTCCCCGAGATCCGACCGAAGTGCAGCAGTGCCAGCCGGTGAGTTCGTCTCGCTGGTCGAGACCATCAAGCATGTGGTGCCAGGTGAAAGCTGCCCAAGTGAACCCAGCCCTGGTCACGAGCAACGTGTACCACAAGCTCCAAGTGAGTGCCGGACGCGACGCGTATGCAGATTTGGGCCTCATCGACGGCAAGGAATCTCTCCACTGAGGCATCAACTACAACGGGACGTGCTTTCCCATCGCGAACGGCTGCATTGGAGCGTTCTTGTGCGATCCGGATGCAAGGAACCTCAAGTGCGAGACGCCGCGGAAGGACAGCTTCGCCGACACCTACAGTCAACTTGATAAAAACTCGACAAAGTGGTACTCCAGGTTATATGGAAATTTGTATGAACTGCGTTGTAGTAGACTTTGAAATTTTTTTACACTGGAAGTTGGCAAAGGACGCCTGGTGCTTCTGCAGCTGTTTTGATCCGCCCAATCGGACAAAAAATATTCAAAATACTACGTAGTAACCGCTTGCGCAGCGTCTGCCGCGGAAGCTGCGTCGGACGCCGGCCTGTCCAACTCGCAGATCGCCGGCGTGATCGAAGAAGTGACGGCCGCCTCGGAACAGATCGCGGACCCCGCCAACGTGGCTACCGCGGCTGCCATCGAGACGGGTGCG